GCATAATGGATTTTGACCCTAGTTAAAAACTGGCCACTTCCACCTCTAGTGCCGTGGGTATGCATCTTAGAGATGTGCAGTCTTCGACAAAGGTGTTTAGTTTACAAAGTGGGTGGTTTCTGATTAGTTCGTATTCCTGCCGCATAGGTGGCGTCTTTGGTCTGAGGTCTTTGATGCCTTTGACAACGTTCCTCAGAACTGTAAAATGCACAACATTGCCGAAGAAACCATCCTTCTAGGACCTTCCGTTCAAAATATAGATTTGAGCGCCACCTATGCGGCAGGAATACGAACTAATCAGAAAACACCGAAAGTTGGTCCTTAATAAACTGAGCAACTTTGTCCAAGACTGCAAACCTGTAGAACGTATACCCACGGTGCTAGAGGTTTTGGTCACGCTACCGGGTTCACCGCCCCACAGTCCGGAGATATAGTCGGAACATGTTCCGGATTGTATAGGCCATGAGACTAAATCTGACTAGAAACGAATAAAACCTACCATGTGATACCTCAAATCACATTAGAATTCAAAAACTAGTTCAATGGAAGTCATTTGAAGTACCCAAGACCACACTGGCCGTATCCTGACATGTTCCGGTTACCCCCGGGGAAGTGGCTAGTGTCAAAATCCAACATGCGATACCTCACACGAGAATTTTAAAACCAGTTCAATGGAAGTATATTAGAGTTCCTGAGTGACCACATTGGTCACAGCCGGATAGGTTCTGGATACCCCGGGGGAGTCACCAGTTGCTAACCAGAGTCAAATTCCTACATGCGATATCTCAAATCACATGAGCATTCAGAAACCGGTTCGAAAAAAGTAATTTGGAGTGCCCAGGACCACATCCGGATATGTTCTCGAAATTTCCCGGAAATCTATGGAACCTGACATAAAGGATCTTTAAATTTATCTGTAGTTCTGGACGTTCTTGTAACTTTCGGAACAACTTTGAACTTTTCGGAACTTCCTTAAAATTCTTGGAATTTCCATGAAGTTCTCAGAACTTCTTGAAGGTAATTTTTATGATGTTAATGGAACATAAAATTTCCAATATTTTCCTGAAGTTCTCGGAACTGACTATCACGGGACTTCCAACATCTTTGAAGCTGTTTAAATTTTGTTCTTGGAATATCTGTAAAGTTCCTACAACTTTTTTTAAAAGTTAATCAAACGGTCCTGAAGTTATCAAAATTTTCCAAATGTTTTCGGAACTTCCCTAAAGTTCATGGAACTGCCCTGAACTTTTCAGAACTTTCCCGAAGCTTTCTGATCAATCTGTAAAGTTCCTGAAATTTTTCTGAATTGCATGGAACTGTCATCAAGCTCTTTGATCTCCACTAATGTTCTAGAAATTTCCCTGAAATCTATGAACCCTTATATAAAGGATGTTTAAACTTCCCTGTTGTTCTGGACGTTCTTGTGGCTTTCGGAACAACTCTAAACTTTTCGGAACTTCCTTGAAATTATTGGAATTTCCATGAAGTTCCTAGAGCCTAAATCAAATTTGAAATAAGTTTTCAATTATACCTTGTATGGAAAAAATGGTACAGAATGAAACAATGTGAAATTTAAGATAGGGCCAATTAGAGGATCACTAGGGCCAAAACTAGCACATTTCCCGAAGTTCTCACAATTTTTTAAATTTGAAGTTTTTTGGACTGTGTTCTTGTAACATCTGCTAAGTTCATGTTATTTCCTAAACTTCATCAAACGGCCCTGAATTTATCAAAATTGTCCAGAAGTTTTCGGATCTCCTCTAAAGTTTCACCAAGTTTTCGGATATTCATGGAACTGCCCTGAAGTTTTCAGAACTTGTCCAGCTTTCTGACCATTCTATAAAGTTTCTGCAATTTTTCTGAATTACATGGAACTGTCATGAAGCTCTTTGATTCTAGGGTAAGTGTGCCAGTTTTGGCACTAGGGCCTAAATTAAATTTAAAATATTTTTCAACCTTCTAATATTGTCCTAGCTTTGCATGGAAATACATTTGGTAAAGAATGAAACACTGTGGAACATAAGATAGGGCCTATTAGAGGATCACTAGGGCCAAAAACTGGCACAATTACCCTAACGTATAGTTTTCAATATTTTCCTGATGTTCTCGGAACTTCATTAAAGTTCTCGCAATTTTCCTAACAATCATGGGACTCCCAAATTCTTTGAAGTTTTTTGGGCTTTGTTTCGTGGAAAGTTCCTGCAATTTTCTAAAGTTAATCAAACGGCCCTGAAGTTATCAAAACTTTCCAAATGTTTTCGGAACTTTCCTAATGTTCCCACAACTTTTCGGATATCCATGAAACTGCCCTGAAGTTCTCGAAACTATCACGAAGCTTTCTGACCAGTCAGGGGCCAACCCTCTCCCCCAACTCCCTAAAGTGTCTACGTGGTTTATGAACAGCCCCTGAGATGTTGAAGTTTTCAGGAGTTTCTCAAAGTTCTTGTTAATATCCTGAAATGTTTTTGAGGTTAATGGAACTGTCATAAAGTTCTCTGATCTCATCTAAGTTCACGAAATTATCCTGGTGGTGATGGAACTACCCTGAAGGTGTCGGAACTTACCCTTAGATCATTAAACTTTCACAAAGTTTTGCCTTTCCTGTTGTTATCTTCAGAAGTTATCTGTTTTAATCACTAGGAATATACTGCCTATAATCGCATATCAGTCCCATATGGATTTTCGTCAATTTTAAGATACTAACGTTATCCACTATCAATTGGCATCTACTTTCATATTACGTGATTAAACTATGGACTTTGATCATGAAAAATGTGAAAACAACCAAGTCAGTTCATCATCATCATCAAGCAAAGAAATCGTATATCAGTGCCATTATGCAATTAAATTATTCAGAAGCTACAGAGTTCTGCTTTGAATCGCCATATTTTTCGCTGATATAACAAATCATGCAAGCTTCATTGCAACTGATTTTAACTTGACAAAATTATGGATTATTTTAACTTCAACTGGCATTTCTCAATGCCTACTTTTCCCATATGGGACTGATATGGGATTATAGGCAGTAACGTCACAGCTTTTAGATGAGAAGCGCCTGTAGATCGCTAGTTCTGGGTCAAAATTAGCTTCGATAGAATAACGAAAATAATTGGGTTTCAGAGTTGGTTACTCCTGGAATAACCATGTGATTTTAGGACCCCTCTACTAAAAAGTTGTGAGAGACCCTCCTAATTCGAAATTGATTGAGCAAAAGTTTGAAATCATATGACTTGGCACATTTTGGCCCCCCACCCCTAAATCGTTCGAATTGTGAAAGTGTTTGAAGGTCATAGATTTGCCAGAATGTTTCCAAATGCTCCAATTGTTTGCGATCCTTAAAATTGGAAATTGATTGAGAAAAATTTGGAGTCATATGACTCGAAAAATGATGGTCCCACGACCTTAAGAGAACTGGAGATAATGATGAACAGATTTGTTTGTTTGAATTTTGGAGACTCAGGACAATGAGTTTTTCTGTTCAAGACATTTGAGGCCCTTAGAACTTTGGATCGATTGAATGCTTTCAACCTTAGATTATTCTACGAGTACCGATGGACTCTGGAAACATGAGATCCGGCAGCGTTGGTTTCAAATTACTCAAAAGCATGCAAATAGCGCCTATTCGGGGTCTGTATTTGAAATGGTCGGTGATTTCAAAGCATTTTCAGCCTTGAAAGAAGCCTCCGCTTGTCGAATTTTTTTAGACTCAACAACACCTGCGAAAACTCACGCCAGGAGTCTAGCGTAAACACCACGGTCGTTGAATTGTAATTTCATACATTTAAAACCCTAAATCTTCAACAGAACTCTTTTGGAGTTCCTTATTCATTGCGGAAAACCGGTTGAATAGAGGAATTATGTTTTTTTTTTCCTTTATGACGACTCCTGATGAGACATGAAATTGGATAATTTTCCTGACAAAAGCTCCGAAGAATTCTAACAGTTTCTAATTCTAGTCCTTGATACTCTAAAACAAATGTGGAAATGAAGACGCACTTTTGGAGCCCATCAGATACTTGAATTGTGACTTCAGAACTCCTCTGCTCAAAAGCTACCCCCCCGTAACGTGAGATCAATAATGGGAAATCGACTGAATGTAATAATTTTCTTTGGAAACCTCAAGATTTCGTTTAAATTCTCCTAGCAAGGGTACCGAGGGACTCTGCAAGCATAAGACTAGGAAACTTTAATCCCATGAGCATTCGAACAACGACCATTTAGATATTTGGAGATACCCACGCTTCCAAGAATTTCCTATTTTAATCAAGATTCTGGAAGAGCATGGAAAGGTTAAAACGATACAACGTTTTCTAATATATTAAAACCTAGTTTTTTTTTCTACAGATCAATTCAGATAGCAAAAAGCTGTCGTCATCTTATGCAAAATTACAAAAGGAATAAACGCCAAACTTCTACATAGTTCGCCGAACTACTATGAAGATCACTGCACTTCTACAAAGATTCCCGAACTGTGAAGAATTTCGTTGATTTTTTGCAAGGCTCCCTGAAGTACAAAGTTTTCTGAGCTTCTACGGAATTTCCTGATCTATTCGACTGCTTTTTACAATCAGAAAAAAAAACGTATTTGAACTTTTGGAAAACGTACCTTAACAAAACTTATGATCTCAACTTTAGCATACTGTGTAGCAATTGCCATTGCAAAACGGTCCCCCCCCAAGCATGCATGTTATTCCAAACAAATCACTTTCCGTGCGATTACCAACTTCAATTAAAATGCAGACGCCGCGTTTAAATCGAACGGACAACGGAAACAAAACTAAACGGAAATTTTCGCCTAAATGTATACATTGTAGACTCGTCAAACAATGAAAATACTCTTAATATTTCATCCTTCTCGGTTCGCTCACCATTATATCGCTGTACTAACAAACAATATATATGACAGTTTAACTCTCATCTGCTATGTCCGACTTTTTTGCTTTGCTCGAAAAAAATAAACAAATATACAGTAACTAAAACCACGGAACGAAAACACAAATAATAATAATAATAATAATAATAATAATAATAATAGTTATTTATAAATGAAGATTGCATCCAGTGTTGCAAGCTTATTGCGCGCGCGTGTGCTTTCAGCCTCTGCTTCTGCGCCTTTAAATAATGTGCCGTCGGTTATACTTGGCATCATCCTACATTCTCTTCAGTATAGCAACTTAAATAGACTTCATTGATAAACTTTGCATAAGTAGTGTAAATAAGTAGTAAACAGAGAATAGCGGATCAGAAAATACAAACAAAAATTCTAAACACATATTTCACAAAATACATAAATCATAAGAACAGCGTCTCGTAGGTAGGGTTATTATCAGTCATACTCTTCAAACTAGCTCTCTCTCTCTCTCTTTCCCTTTCGCTCTTGCAGTACAACCCTTAGACTCTACTATCGGTTTTTTTTTCACCTCAATACAATACTCTATTTACTATAATAGAAAATAGTACTAATCCTGCGTCTTTCCTTCTTTTTCTGCGTGATTTTTGTTGTTTTTCCATGTTGTAAATTATGATCTTCTTGCCGTAGAATGACTACTAGATAACTGTCGTATGTAAGTGAATAACGGCTTCTGACAATGAAGTTACACTACTTGCTACTTCTATCCCTACTATTGCCTTAAACGCTAAGTTTCACGACGACGATGATGACGACGGGGACGTCGCCGCCGATGTGGAAGTGACAGCCGTCTGCTGTTGCATAGGAGGAGTGCTGTTGCTGGTGATAATATCCTTTCGCGATAGATGCATATCGCTGAAATCGATCTCGTTGGTGGAGTCAATCGATTGGATCGAGGTGCTCTTGATCATGCGCAGGTTCAGGTTCGTACCGCGGCACTTGATCGCCGTTAGCTGTTGGTCATCGGGTTGTGAAATAGTTCGTTAGTGTTTGAAATGGAACAAAAAAGTATCCTTTTGCGGGACAAAGATTGATCACAGTAAAAAAAGAGGAACTAGAGGAATTAAAGATTAGTAAGGTGCACCATGCGAAACATGCAGTTATGAAGCTCATTCGACAACGATAGGGGATTTGTACTAATATTTACACACAAACAAACAAACAATATGGCAACGGTGAAACAATTCAAACACCAACTTACAAGACCTGCGAAAGCCTACATCTAGTGTTTCTATCCAACCAAATCAATATTTCAGTTTGTTCTTGATAGCGTCTACTGCGAAACTGACCACTTCGCGGCTATGTGATATCTTGTGTAGGTACTAAATAAAAAGAAACGAAATTTTTGAATGCAAATCTAAATGAATTTGTTGATGATGTGCGTACCACAGACAAACAGACGTATTTCTTTGAAAAAGTTTTTCTTGAAAACATAGTATCTCAAAACATAGGACCTCCGTAACGACATCTCTCGGTTTTCTCGCGGAAAACAAGCTTGCTCGCTAACTCGCAAACAATACTGCATAAAAGTTCAATAGAATGCATAGAAACGACAAAGTGATCCGATACCAGCGCTGCGGCGAGTAGTTCGCGGAAATGATAATATTCAAATCAACCGTTAAATGCGTAAACGAAGATACACAATGAAGTGTTACGTCTTTTTGTCTGTGTGCGTACTATAAAGTTAAACTAAACTTGAGGCAATTTGCGTTGACGACGCTTTAGATGATTCAATTGGGCGTTCAATTCACTTAAAACGCTAAATGAGCTACTAATAAGCTGGTCGATGTCGGACTTGCTCTATCGAGTAACACGCTTGTCGCATATAGGCTATAGAAACTTATTTCCGGAGTGATTTGAGATTTGGGCGTAATTGCTTTTGTATACAAAAGCTGACATCCCTACATCAATTCTATACGTTTGACAGTAGGCAACATCGATGACCTTATTTAAATACGACCCGCCTGACGTACACGTGGTGAAAAGGGATGGAAAATCGTGTTATAAGCAGAAGGACAAGAGCAGATGATAGCATCAAAAACATGGCCTCCAGTCAAGCCCCTGGAATCAACTCATTTTAACCGTGTATTTTGGCAATTAATTACTTCATTCGAGCAGTTAAAATGACGTTTGCTACCACTCGAACTTTGAAATAAAACATTATTTAGATTTTTTCTTCTAGAACCACGAGAAAAGTAGCCAACATTTGTGCGTTTCTTAAAAAAATGGAATTTAGTTGGTCCAGTTTTGTGAAACCGCTGGTAGAAAGTCACGCCAAAACTGCTTGACAAAGTGGTCAATCAGCAACTGTTCTAATGGCATTAATAGCAAATTTCCCGATAATCAAAACACACCCGCGCAAACTAGCAATGCCATTCTATAAAGGAGGTTCTATGGCTCTATTAGATGCTGGTGTTAGATTGCGTGGATGCTTTTTTTGCAGCGAGTAACTCGGGAGTAACTCAAAGTACCTCAATATTGAATCGACGTTCATCGATTTTTTTTCTCTGCTTACTCCGTTTACTCCCTTTAAGAATATGCTTCTCATATTAGACGTCAGTTTTGTTAGAAAACAAAGTAAGCCCAAGTGTATCCTGAGGCTTTCGAATAGCTTGAATATTATGGAAGAACCTGCGTCGGTGTCAGCTTACTACCAGCAAGAAGTTACAGTTCCAGCCAGCTTTCAGCAGTTGCTCTTCCTCCCCAGCAGCCAGTCCCAGTTGTCACTTCAAAAGGATCATCGCTGATCAAACAAGCTGTCCAAACAGCTATTCTTCTAAACATCTGTAATTTCACCTATAATGCAACGATCCCCTCAGCACGAATGATCCAGTAGTCGTAACAGCAGTCCCAATGAAAATGATAAAAACTAACTCCGATCCCCTTCTTGTTAGCACCATGTAAGTTAGTTTTAGCGTGAAGGTTCCATCACAGCACATCCAATAAAATCTCCCCGGTGGGGCAACAACCGATTAACACCCAATTCCAGCTCCGACGGCAACGCTACCAACCATTTCTCCCGTGGAATGTTCAGCCAGAGCAGCTGCCGCAATTTCCTAAGCCGAAGAGGAGGAGGACGTTGAAGTAACCGCTACCAATGTTTCCGGTGAGTGCGTTCCTCGTCCTCACTTTAAACCCATCAACGATCAACCGGACGAAATCGAAGTGAAAACCGGTCAGGAAGGCGAAGAACACATCAAGCTGACAGATTATCTTCGTCGACTTTCTCTTTGCATTCCCACGGCCATGTTAAGACCAAGTACAGGATCGTCATGAGACGTGATCAAGATCACAAGATCGCTACCAATCACTCGATATCGTCAGTGCTGTTCATAAAACAGATGGAATTCTATACCTGGGCCGCTATGGACTTTGCCAACAAGAAACCGAAGAACACACGTGTGTAGTGATGTTCTATGTTCACGGTGGTGTATCGCAGAAACGGGACCATATCACGATCATCCGGAAGGCACAACAGAAGCATAAGAGGAAGGATAGATGTCCACCGTCAGTAGAATGGCACAGTGGTAATTCAGAGCTCGGTTCTCAGTTTCATCCAGCGGCAGTTTGTCAAGCCATGGGAACGAGATTCCTTCGACGAGTATTGTAGTACGAGCAATAGGTTCCGTTCACGTTCACAGTTGGTAAGGGTTGAACGAAGGTTATTAAGCAGAGATGATGCAGGATAATCAAATCAATCAATTTAAGTGTCTCCGAGTTTCGCTGAGTTATTGAGTTCTGTGAACATGTTTTTTTTTTTAATTGTTTTGATTGACAGCAGCTTTTTGGCTTTGCAAGAAGGTGCACCTTCAGAGAAAGCAAACGACAGTGATCTTTCTCACTGAACAATGTGAGTTACTCGAGGTGCATCAAAAGCAACTCAGAAATTGCGCATGATTAGGAGCTGTCTTGCCCCTAAGCCTCAACGTCTATTCTCTGTGCTTATGCTGATAAATTGATTTATCTACGTGCTACGGGATAGGACACGCAAAGCCAAAGAAATTTAATTTTCCTTAGCATTTCTTGACCCAGTACGCAGTTGAAAAGATCGATCAAACATCAACATCATTAAAGCCGTCTATACCAAACCCTTTCCTACGAATTTCATTTATTCCTTCATTGATATTTCCATGACTCCGTTCCTACAATTATCCTTGATATCTTCCCTCCTAAAAGTCAGACATCGTTGGACCTCGGATAAATCTTCATCATGGGCGTTGTTTATAACTGATGCTGTTGCTGTTGTTGCTGTTGCTGCCGTTGTTCCCGTTGTCTCACTCCATCACCATAGTCACCGCCGAAGCAGACATTGTTGCGTTTTATCGACTTCAATTGAGTGAGCGATCGTACATCACATTATCAGATGAGTAGAATATTAACGAAAACGATAGAAATGTATGTTGTTTTGTTCTTTGACTCGATGCTCTTTCCATTGCCTTCCTTCAATCTACTTTTCCGGTTCATGCTCTCACTGTTGATCATGTTTCTGTTTCTCGATGTCGGTTAATCAGATTAATATTGCACGGACAGGACAAGGTATTGCTGATATCCCACGAGCTGTTATGAATGTGGCCCTACTGGATGATTGCTTGAACGTATGTCATATGAATGTGCAAAGTTTGTGTGCTCGTCAATTAAGCAAATTCAACGAATTTACGCATTGTTTTGCTAGTAGCAAAGTTGATATCATTTGCGTATCTGAAACCTGGTTAAATGAAAGTATTGACGATAATTTAATTGCCGTGGATGGTTACCGAGTTTTAAGGAAAGATCACAGCAGAGGGGGGGGGGCATTTGTATTTATCACAAACTAGATCTTGATTGCAGAGTTATTGCTGTCTCTGATTCTCTAACGGAATTGGAAGACTGTAATCGAACCGATTATATGTTTATTGAAGTTCGAGTAAACAATAAATTATTCCTCCTCGGTGCTATTTATTCGCCACCTAGAGTTGACTGCTCTAGTTTGCTAGATCAAAAGCTTTCCGAACTGTCACTTAATTATTCGAATGTTATTTTGGAAAATTTTGGATTAAACATTGTCAACAAAGAACCAACGCACTTTTACTCTGGTGGAAGTTCACTGATTGATTTACTGATAACTAACGATACTGATTTTGTTCTAAATTTCAATCAAGTTGCTGCTCCTGGTTTTTCTCAACACGATATAATTTTTTCATCACTTAATATATCTCGTAGACAGTTGGATCTCCCTAAGTTATTTAGGGCTTATAATCGTATTGACTACCCTCTACTACAAAGTACGTTGACAAATTTTGATTGGTCCCCGTTATATAGTATTAGTGATTCTGACTTGGCACTCGAGTTCAAGAATGCACACATAGTTGATCTTTTCGAAAATTTCGTTCCTCTGCAATCTGTGCGGTCCAATCCCAATGCGATGTGGTTCAACAATGATATATTGAATGCAATGATTGCGAGAGACATTGCATATCGACTTTGGATATCAAGTAGAATTGAATCGTATCATATTCAGTTTAGAAGACTTCGTAATCGGGTAACCAGTCTGATAAATAAGGCTAAATCAAATTTTTTGAGCAGTGGCTTGGCAGCTGCTAACTCTAGTAAAGAGCTGTGGAAAAACTTAAACATTTGAATGTTGCCGGAAACTCTAATAGCAGTGTGAAGATTCATAATACTAGTGATGAAGTTAATGCCTTTTTTGGTGAAAATTTTACGATAGATCCTGAATTACCGACGATACCACCACTGAATCCTGAAGGTTTCCGTTTTTCTCCTTGCACTGATTTGGAAATTTTGTCTGCAATTTTATCAATTTCATCCAACGCGATTGGTATGGATGGTGTTCCTTTAAAATTCATCAAATTGATTTTACCCTTCGTAATAACTCCGATTTCCTACCTGTTCAACTTGTTCATTTCGACCGCTAGATTTCCTCGTGCATGGAAAACCGCAAAAGTTATTCCAATTC